AGTAGTGGATCGACTTAGGAGATGTCCCGCTGATAAAATATATGACATACAAACCTCCCCCATCTTTATTTACGCCTATTTTCCTAATTTTTACGCAACAGTTACCCCCCAAAAGTCATTATTTTATCAAGTTATGCATTCTTGGCATTGGAAGAAGTTGACAGTTACGTCTATTTTGATCAGTGACTGTGGCCAAATGTGCCACAATCTACTGCCTGAGCTCGCGCGTCAAAGCATTACCAGATTTTCAGAAGCGCTGATGTCAGCTTGAAAATTCACACTTCCTAGAACATCCCTGACACAATTCCGATGGTATATTCCTGCAATCATGTTCAAACAAACCGAAAAAAAGCACGGATATCAAGCCAAAAACTGCATTTTCCATGACGAGTCGCACAGGTCCAGTGTCATTTTGCCACTGCGCACGGGTTCGGTGTCAGTTTGCGATAGAAACAAACAATCGCTTCGGGACCAGCAGTTTCTTGAATTTCGGTTATTGTACAAATACACACTTTATTTGTGACTATTTTTTTCTCCATAGCTGTAATATCCCTTTTCTCGGCTCCTCACTTATCTTAGCACCTTGTTAACTACAGTGAAGGATTTACTCGAATTCGATTTATCCTGGATCTGCGCGAATTTAATGCCTCAAAAGCATAAACGATCGGGAAACCGGCACGCCGATAACATGGCATTTTTGCTGGAAGATGAATTCAAGTGTTAAGAAAATTGGCCTTCAGGACAAATCTATCTTGGACACCAAGCTTACAATTAGGATGGGGGTTTTTTCAGCCGTTTATTTTTTAGATACACAGGTTATGCGTTTTTGCATAATATGCAAAAACACATATTGTGATGACCCCGGTTTGTGTGTATGTGTGTGTGTGTGTGTGTGTGTGTGTGCGTGCGTCTGTCCGGATTGAAATACCGGACAAACGCACACACACACTCACACACACACAACTCGGCAACCACAGGCTATATTTCAACTCGGTACTCAAGCAAGCTCCGGCGCCAAAATTTTGCGAGTGGGTTCCCCAGCCAAGTGCCACCTCAGGACCGCGGTACCAGCCCTCAAGCACGTCCGCGTACGAGCGCCTCAAAGTTGTGGCGGGAAAATCGCTAGCTCGAGAACCAGAAAAGCTAGAACGCTGAAATTTTGGGATTACGTTTCCAGTCCAACTAGAACTCAAACATTTCAAATTCAGCCTCCGGGGATTCGCAGTTCCCGCGTACGGCCCCGTGAGGTTCCTGGCGAGAAAATAGCTAACCGCGGAAGCAGGGAAGCTGGGAGGCTGAAACTTTCAGGGAATGTTCCCAACTCTTCTACAACTTAAATTTATCAAATTCAGCCCCCCTTATGCATGGTTTACGCGTACGGCCCCGTGAAAGTTTTTGGCGGGAAAATGGCCAACTCCGGAACCAGGGAAGCTGGGAGGCTGAAACTTCCAGGAAATGTTCCCAACTGATCTACAACTTAAATTTATCAAATTTATGCGTGGTTACTTCGTACGGCCCCGTGAAAATTTTTGGCGGGAAAATAGCTCTGCATATATGCAAATTGCAAAAACGCATATTGGAAAGAGGCTGTGTGTGTATGTGTGCATGTTTGTGTATGTGTGCATGTGTGTGTGTGCGCGTGTGTGTGTATGTGTGCATCTGTGTGTGCTTGCACTTTTCGTCACCCACTCTCAACTCGAGAACCAGAAAAGCTGGGAGGCTGAAACATTGGTAGTATGCGCCCATACCATGCGCGATCCTCCCGTTTTAATTTCATCCACCTCGAACGCCCGCTTTAAAAAAATATGCAAATTTTTTGGCGGGAAAGCGATCTCGGGGATCACATGAGCTAAAGGGCTGAAACTTTGTTGGGATATTCCCTGTGCACGTACTAGCTAAAGATTTCAAATTCAGCCCCAGGTATGCTTGGTACTCATGTAAGAGCGTATGAAAGTTTTAGAGGGAAAATTGCTAACTCGGGTATCAGGAAAGCTAGAAAGCTGAAATTTTGGGGGAATGCTCCTTATCCAAGTACAACTCAAATATTTCATATTCAGCTTTTCAAGCACGTGGAGTATCCAAGTATGTGAAGGTTCTGGTGGAAAATATGTGAAGGTTCTGGTGGGAAAAATGTTAACTCGGTAACTAGAAAAGCTGGAAAGCTGAAATTTAAAGGGAATGTTCCCTGTCCAAGTACAACTAAAATATTTCAAATTCAGCCTTGAAGTATGCATGGTTCTTACATACGGGCACTTAAAAGTCTTGACGAAAAAATTTCTCGCTGAACAACTA